AATTTACCGAGCCTCAGCTGTATTGTATTACTGTGACAAATTACTTTCGCTGAAAAGTAACGGATTACTTTAATCGTAGGTGACATTACAAATTACGTTCACGTTACTTTTCCGTACATATATATATAAAAAACAATGAAATAATTTTGATTTCTTTTAAATGTTCTGCTACACTACTTTTCATGTCTCATACGCCCGCATTATGGTAGTCCTTGTAGAAATAAAGTATTGTATTTAAGAGAAAGAATGTAGGTGCACTTCGTTCACCCGTAAGCTGACAAGGCAGCCAAATCTGCCACCACACTCGCCATCCCGCTGGGTTACGGCGATTGGGAATGATTCCTGGAATTCTGCAGAGATGAAAGCTAGCGATGCGCATGCTCAGTAGCAGCGTCCACCTCCTCTAGGAGATTCAGAGGTCTGACCTACGAAAGCTCCCTTTTGAAACGAGAATTTTAAGCGTGAGCGTAACGTCTCAAAGCTGCGGTCTCGTGCCTGTAGCTTTTTAGAGCGCAGCTCGCAGGCGCCCGTTTGTGGCTTGAGCGGCGTCGCCGTCGCCGTCGGCGTAACCAAGGTCACCCCAAGGTCACGTGAACCCCAGGTCACGTGACCCCTCTTAAGGTCACGTGACCCCCAAGGTCACCTCAAGGTCACGTGGCCTCCCCCCCCCTTCCCCCGAGGTCAGGTGACCCATCCGGAGCCTATTAAAGAATGAGGGGAGGAGGAGGAGGAGGGGTCTATCCTCCCCTCAGTACCCTTCCCTCCTCCTCCTCAAGAGCTGCGCTCCCATTCGGCGTTACAGGGAGTTGTAAACGGCTTTCACTTTTTTGGCGCACTGTCAGCTTATGCATGAACGGTTTATGTTGCATTCGGTACTAAAAAAATGCATGGGCGCGACCGCTCGTTTTTGAGCTTTGGTTGAGTGGGTGGTCGGACGATCATATTGCTTCAGTTTCTGTTGTATTTTCATATTTTTAGAAAAGTAACAAGTAATTATTACTTCCAGAAGGAAATAACGTGGCAATGACGAAATTACTTGAAAAGTAACGGATTACTTCCCAATTCTGGATTCTGACAGGTTAGCAAGCCAACCTAACGCGCTATGATCGGCGACCACGGTAAAAAGGCGGCCATAAAGGTATGGACGAAATTTTTTGATCGTTCTTATCAGTGGTTTTGAAATGGGGGTCCACGAAGGCATTCTAGGGGTCAGCGAAGCACAGCCTCATAGTAAGCCCGGCAGTAAAAGTTGTATTTTTTCAGACTGAGAAGAAACGTTCCAATTTTGGGTGAGCTTTCTAATGTACAAGGTGTCACAAACGAATATTTACAGGGTTTTTTCACCGCAAAAATAAACTAGGCTTCTCCGAACGCTCGTTCTCCGCCCAAACGTAGCGCTAGAGGTCACATCCCGATGCCAAAGTTTCAGCTCGGTCCGCTACCTTATTCATAAGTTATAAACGATTTTCTGAAAATTTCAATGGAAAAATGAAGCCCATTTTTGCCCGTTTTTGGTTTCTGGTGCCCATAGAGCCCCGTGTATTCGAAAACTCCGTCGGCCGCCATTTTCCCATTGAAATTTACAGAAAATAACTTATAACTTTTGAATAAGGTATGGGATCGGGATGAAACTTTGGCATCTGGTTGTGACCTCCAGCGCTTCCTTTGGGCGGAGGATGAGCGTTCGGCGATGCCTAGTTTATTTTTGCGGTAATTAAAACTGGAAATTTTTTTGGGACACCCTGTATATGTCACACTAAAACTTAGTTATATATATATATATATATATATATATATTAAATTACTATCATAATTAACCAATACTTTCCCTTTCCCGCACCACGAACGGTGTCCTCCATCATCTCTGCCGATCCACGGCCACGCTGAATGGAGTGGTAAATGATGGAATAGGAAAGTTTCAACGAATCCTGGAGAGAAGTTCACCAGAGGCAAGCTCACCGGAGAAAAGCACACCGCGATACCGGCGGATGCAGAGAAAAGCTCACCGGAATCGAGAAAATGCGGAGAAAAGCTCACCGATATTTTTTTTTCTTCGGTCCATATGAAGGCTGTTGGATCATGCGTAATATATATCAATTTATTATCATTAAAATTCGTCAGCTTTCTAAAAGTGGATATGTAATTTTCTTTTAAATTTCTTAAGCTTATTGGGTATATTGCTCCGAAATTAATAAATGCGGGCGAGTGTTTTCTTTGGTTTAGTCCCTGGGCAACGAAGAACTATCTGAAAATATTACGAACCTGAAGAAGAGGAAAAAGTTCGAAAACTTAATAATGTCTTCCAAAAACCTAAAAAGAAAAACTGTAAATTCCGAAAATCCGAAATTGCATGCGCAACAACGCGGTGCCCGAAAATCTTTCTGAAGCTTTTGTTAACCTTTGAAAACAGGAAAGAACGGTCAGTATAGGATATCGAGGTTTCTTTCTTCCACAGACATGCACGTTTTCTAGACGTTCGTGCTGGTGTTTCCACACATTGGCTTTGTGTGATAGTGCCCTTCTACGGCGAGCCACACATGACTTTCAGAGCTGCGCACTCACCGTTGTTACTCGTGACCTGTATGAGAACTGGTCTCCTGTAAAATAGCGAATTGGGCGAGTTGGTAAACGTTATACATGAGGAAAAACGCCCAAACGACGAAGACGGAGTGAAGGCAACAAACAGGACCTGACGAAGCTGTTCTCGCAACGAAAGTTTTATTTGTGAAAATAACAGGAAAAAAAAACAAAACAGCGTAACCAACACTGATTCCATCATCAAAGACCTACTTATATGTCAGGCACCACACAACCTTCGGAGCGGAAACGGTTCACTCACCACTGTTTATATTAGCTCGCAAAAACAAACCTCTTCATCTGACGGAGCTACTGACGGCGCACTGTCAAGCTGTCAATTAATTGTTGTCTTTTCTTACAAATCATAGTAGAAAACCACCAATACAAGGAGCAAAAAGAACAAGAACAACACCATCTCACAACCAGCACAACAATGATTTAATTAGACACAGTCTACCCAAGCAACGGTTTGGTACAATTTCGTGATAAAAAATTAAAAAAAAAAATTAAAAGAAATCACCCCGCTGGAAAAAGACAATAGACTAGAGAGACAAGAACGTCCATGTCGATCCTAATCCAAAGTCAAAGAGGGCCTACTAATACAATTCTCGGCGGTCGTAATCCTTATTGCCTCCTTAATAACCCCCTTAAATGAATATTTTTCTTTGCTAACAACAGTCGTCTCAGCCCGGTCTGAGTAACAATTATTGCATTCATTGAGATGGTTTACAATTTCATAATTGACCGAAGAGGAGTTAACCGTTCTTTTGTGTTCTAAAAGCCGGCCGTTAAGGCAGCGGCCGGTTTGACCTACATACCAGAACCCACACCACAAAAGAATTTCGCACACTACTGCCATCTTACAATTAGTTGCCGGATCTCTATGATTTTTTGGCAACCATGCTTGTCCCCAGAAAAAGGAGTGAACTTACTTAACTTGAAATCATTTTTGAAAACAACATTATACCATGGCACTCTGCCGAAGCTTTGAGGGTGTGAGAAAAGAGGTAGAAAAAAGGCAAGCACACCCACTTCTCAGGTTCCTTGCGGGGAACCGTAACAGATCCAAAATTAAAGAGAACACTCTTCAACACACTCGAATGGAGAGACAAACTATAACCTGGAGCAACCAGTCGTGACATTTGAAAAGTAACACTCTCATGAACATACTAAAAACATTACTTGCCCAAAGCATTTTTGAGGAGAGAGGATACTACTGCTCTTTTCGCTGCTTTCGTGTGGCAACTTTGAAATCGCAGCACTGGTTTCGAAGCAGCTTAAAATTTTAAATCTAGAAACTTCATACAACTAGAAGTGTAAATTTCACTGGTGAAGATGAATTCCGGAGCTTGTTCCTTTATAAAGGAAATCCAACTGAACACATCCGGTCCTTCAGACACGCAGATAAAAAAAAATCTTCGACATACCATTTGCTTGTTTGAAGGACCGAATGTGTTCAGTTGGATTTTCCTTATAATACACTGACCTTGATTCTCGATATTTACTATTTCATTTATATAAATCACTCAAAATAAGGGTGCTGAATTGTGTAGTCATGGTTGTAAGTTCCTGGAATAGGATATTTACACACTAAGGTGTATAAAACATTTTACTGTATGCAATCGGTTTTGTACCTCCGAGGTCTCACCGAACAGGCGCGCGAGTGCTGTGCCAGCACGCAGAGCAATTAATCCAGAAGGCAACTCAAAAATTTCCAGCCAAGAACTGTGATTCAATCCAGAGACAAGTTCAACTCGTCAAATCCGTTACTTGACACCTTGTGTTTTTTCGCAACCCCAGACATCTGCTGTGGCTGGCAAATTGTCCCCGAAAATACTTGCTTTTCTTCTTTTTTCTTTTTTTCAACCACAGTAGAACTGTCCACCTTGTACAACATGTTTATTCAGTAAAAAAAGTTGGTTAAAATAATGGAAGAAATGCTCCAATCTGACAGAGAGTGATCCACTGCAGGTCCACTTCATTTCTTTGTTTATCATTGTATACCCTATATAGCATTGCAACCGGGAGGGAGGAGGGGGCGGGGGAGGTTGGACCGCCCTGGTTGCAGTGCTCAGGGGGGTGCAGCTGTGCAGTGAAAAGGGGAAAGTGGGGGGGGGGGGGGGGGGGAAGTCGCAGCAGGCCACTTCCTTAGGTGCCGCTGACCCTAGTTCCGCCACTGGCACATGGGTGTTCAAGCACCTTGAGCGCTTATAAAAGCTGTGCACGCGCATTCTTCACTTCTGAAATGCCACAGAAAGTTGTTCACGTGTATAGCCAAATGTGCTTAGCCTTGCCGGATAAACTGCCTCAGCGAATGGGTCTTTCATATTGTGTGTAAAAAACCTTTAACATATAATGCCAGAAAACACAAGAACGAAAGAGAAAGAGTGCGGTTTAATAGACCTACGAAGGAAAAAAGTGCATCGGAAGTTAAAACCGTCTTTATTCGCATTGTCATGGTATTTGCAGTGTGACATAATTACCTGCTACGCAGGCGTGGTGAGGGCAGAGGAATGGTGTAAACTTTGGTCGGTTTCCCACCATAAGCCCCGAGGTCGTATTCACTGACGCGAAGCTGGGAATCGCTCCCGAAAACGCCCTTGAAGATGCCCTTGGCGGTGTAGTGCACTCCCTTTTCGGTTTCTTGCAGAAGTGGGTCGTTGAGGAGCCTGACGTCGAAGAACCAGAGGTAGTGGTCGCTGATCTTTTCCCGGAACCAGACAGCGAACCAGCCTTCTATGTCAATTTGGGCAGTCCATGGAATTTCCTGAAACAAAAAGAATCATCGCCCAAAATTAGGAGGGCAAACTTGAACCCTTAAGAAAAATATGGTGTCAGGTGACGTCATTGCATCACATGACGTCACGTGGCACTGTGAACATCACGGCTAAAATTTCCCGCTAAATTTGGCGGAGAAATATCTCCGTTTAACTTAGCGAATAACCTTGCCAACCACGACGTTCACATAGACAAGAGAAACACACGAGGGAATCCGCTGCGCAAAAGCTCGCCAGGCTGTCGCCATAAAAGGCTACTTCCGAAAAAGAACGCTATACGGCGCTTTCATGGAGGGACTTTTCATTTCCGGTAAGCCGCGTTCCACCATGTTGATGAACAGTGCCTGCCACTATCCTCATTCGTTTGCATCCGGAAGATACGTTACTGGCGTCGTTGTTGGTGTTGGTGAAATGCACAAGCATGGCGAGTTACTTCGTACACGGCAGAGCTAAGTAAATATACGACCGGGGACTTACTTAGGCCGCATAACCTCATAAATACGTCGCTTTTTCTTTTTTTTTTTTTTCGGCGTCACCTCGGGTTAATTTACTGGGGCCATTTTGGCCGCCGACAGGTCGACTTCTATAAGGGCCGTCTCAAATAGGGGCCAGGCTGTTTAAATCGACCGTAAAATTCGGTTTCTTAACCTATCGCGCTACGATTTTGTGCAGCGTTGCCTGCAAAAAATTCATGTCAAGTGATGTAAGCACCGAATGAACATGGTTAAAAATGGCGCACAAAAAGACGAGGACAAACTAGGAAGGAACACAGAACACAGACAGGCGCGCCTGTCTGTGTTCTGTGTTCCTTCTTCGTTTGTCCTCCTCTTTTTGGGCGCAATTTTTAACCATGTTCAACGTTTACCAACTCGCCCAGCTTACTACTTTACTACTGCACCGAATGAGTTTCCCCGCTAAATTGATAATAAATATTTATATCTATATGTTCTTCTGCACCCTTAGACCGACTGTTAGATTTCTTCTAAACAAATTCAAACGACTGTTCCTCAAATGCGGCATTTTGTGCAATATAAGACTTCTAAAATGAAGGTCGCTGCTTTTTTTTTTTTTACCCACCTGAGTGACATCGGTGATGACCCACTCAATTTTTGCCGACTTCATTGGCGGAACCGTGACGCCCAGATCGACGGCGTACTTCTCCGCGTCGGTGTGGACTTGCCCTGCAGTGTTAGAGAGGCTGACGGTGGTGCTGAACGAGCCGGTGAAGTCCGCCACGCCCGGCAGGCCCGCCTCGATGGAGACCGAGGTACCCACGGTGAACGTGTCTTGCGTCTGCCACGAGTACTGGTGCGTCAGGGTCTTTTCCCGCTTCACGGTGACGACGATCGGTTTGGTCGGCTGGTTGTTGTGGGCCCATTCCGTGTGCACCACTTTGGGCAGGACGGACGACTTGCTCACGCTGCCGTACTGCAAGGGGCCCACTCTGGTGCTCACCTTGTACCTGTCAATTGACGCCAATGCAGTGACAATCGGTCCTCCCGGTGATTGCAGCACTTCCTCTGAAGAAAGGCATGGAATTTCAGCTATTCAATATTGGCGCGAACTATTGTCGATTTTAATCGCCTGTTTTTGAACCTAATTTCACGGCTTTATCTTTAGACCAGGCGTTGTGAACACCTGATTCTCCGATTAGGTCGAGAAGGCGGGTGAGCGAACCTGCAGCCACAGCTTTTTGACCTATCCGCTAGGTACCGTCAATTTCGCTAAAGTCGTCCAGAGCCGTATATGTAGAAATTTCGTTCATTCATTGGGAAGTATAAGAGATAGATGAGGAGGCGCCATTGGCCGAAAGCGGGCTGGGAGTGTTCCAGGTCGGTTTTCACAATTTCGAATGTGGCCAACCAGAAGCCTGAAATAATACCCTGGTGGTGGTACCGCGAAACGTAAATAATAAGTTCGTCGGAATAACTCTCGGTGAGTGAAAATATGGTGCACGTGATGTTTTAGTCAACATTACTCGATCAACTCAGTTGGCGAACTCCCGTGGAGAGCGTGATCACGTACCCCTCAGCCAGGCTAACGCTGTTCGAAGCGCCAACCTTCTTGCTCGCTGCGGCGCGTCTTGCAACACCAGCTCAAAATAATGCCGCTGCGTGCAAGAAGGATGACTCGTCAAGCAGCATTTCTGAATCTAGGGGTTATCAGCGGATACTGACGTGTGTAAGAAGGGATCAACCTCTCCGTGGGAGTTTGCCAACTGAGTTAATCGAGTTACGTTGATCCTATGCGATACTACCGAACAATTACAAACAGCCGTGTTGTTCCCCGAGCGGCCGCGGCGGGAGAAATGGCGCAGTTGCAATCGCCATTAGTCCGGTTCCCGAGTACGGACTCTTGTAACTTTTTCAGAGCAGGCTTTATGAGAGTTTCGTAACTGACTTGGTCTAGTAACGTTGGTTTGAATTACTGTCATCAAAGATGATGGTGGAAGAGCGCAACTAACGAAACGATTGACATAATCCGTACGCCAAGCGCCGAGGGTCATATCTGTGTGACCACTCGGTTGGAGCTACCATCCGAGTGGTCACACTATATACGAGCAAAACGGAGTTCGAGGGACACATTCCTTTCTCACATCTTTTTGCATGATCAGAATCGAAATATCACGTGCACCATATTTTCAGCCATGAAGAGCTATTACATTCAACTTTCATGCTCTTATTAAAACTGTTTATCGCTACCACCACTAGGGGATTCTTTTCCGCGTTTGGTTGGCCAAAAGAGCATGCCAAGCACTCAATCTGCGCCCGGTGCACGCCCTGGTTCTGCCCGCTCCTCCCATTGACCAAACTCTTCATTCACGGCTCTGGAGTCGCAAATATTTCGGCGGTCTGAAAACCGCCCAAGTTTGCAGACCAATAAATAGTTTACCTTAGGCCCCGTGGTAATATCTACGTGAGTATTCAAAAATACACGAGCAGTGGACAACCCGAACGCCGCGCGCAGAGGCCAGGACTCATTTCGGAAATACTGTCACGTCTATTTAGCTCTAGGATCAAGATCAGTGGAGCTATGACATTAGGCTTCATACATAACGTTATTCTTAAATGCGATGGCATTTCCAGAGCCACTAAATCACGAGGCAGCGTGCGTCCGTCCCTAGATAGCTGAATTTAGCGGAAAGCCCTTAATTGATGCATAGTCGTGCATCGGTTCCATTTCCCCGCTAAATATTGCGGTAAGACCTGAATTTTGTAGAACTACCCACCAATAGTTCAATGACGGTTTATAGCCCTACTAGTATACCTCTAGGCTTGGCACGTGAATTTTGGAAATAATTAAGCGAAAACGGCGCCGCGCCGGTGCCCGATAGATTGTGCCAAGCTTGACGGACAGCTGAAGAGGCGAACTAGAATCCCAAATGCTTTTCCGACGCTACGAGTTGATGGAACCAATCAAAGAGCGTAAAAAGCGCAAGTCAGCGAGTTTTACAGTACACGATTTGTTCGGCGATGATAGAAGACGTACTACACATTACCAGCACCCTGATGGTGCACTTTTTGACGCTCTTTGATTAGTCTCAGCAGATCGTTGCGTCACCTGCGTTTTGGTTTAAAGGGGCCCTGCAACCATATTTAAGCGTCTACCTTTTTTGCGGTTTCCGCGTCTCTTGGGGTTCGGGCCAGCCAGCAAGCACGGAGAGAGTAACTGCATATCAGTCCGTCATATTTTAACCGAACGACGCAGAGGCCTTCTCCACCTACGGGGGCGACCCGCGGTGCCCAAAGCCCGCGATATGTGAAGTCTTTGGTCCTGGCCTTACTACTGATCAGAGTCGCTAAAAGCTTGTTTTTAGTCGAAATACAAAATATAAGTGGAGCGAACCGTTTCAATTATTTATAAAAGTAGTTGTAGAGCGCAGCTCTTGGGCGCCCGTTTCCGGCTTGAGCGGCGTCGGCGTCGGCGTAACCGCGCGGTGCCTTATGGGTAAATTTTTCCGAGGGAACCCGAGGTCTTCCCAAAGGACCTCGGGTTCCTTCGGGAGGACCTCGGGAGAACCTCGGGTACCTACGGGAGCACCTCGGGAGGACCTCGGGTTCCTTCGGGAGGACCTCGGAGGACCTCGGGTTCCTGCGGGAAGACATCGGGAGGGCCTCGGGTTCCTTCGGGAGAACCTCGGGAAGCCCTCGGGTTTTTCGGGAGGACCTCGGGAGCACCTCGGGTTCCTTCGGGAGGACCTCGGGAGGACCTCGGGTTTTTTCGGGAGGACCTCGGGAGGACCTCGGGTACCTTCGGTGACCTCGGGGAGGGGGGGTCACGTGGCCCCTCCCCGTAATCTTGAGGTCACGTGACCCCCCCCCCTCCCCGAGGTCACGTGATCTCCCCCCCCCCCCCGACGTCACATCACCCGCCCCTCACTACCCTTCCCTACTCCTCCTCAACAGCTGCGCTCTAATTCGGCTTTCACTTTTTTGTTCAGTATTTTAGATCAGAAAATAAACAAATGCACTTTAGGAAGTACAGAAACAAGAAATTACTCTTCGACATCCCCGCCACCAAGCGGTGGAAAAGGCGGCGCGTACTAGAATGGTGTAGTGGGATCAGGCACCGGCGAGGCGCGAGTGTAGAAAGGTCCTGAATGTACGCGGCGGCGCTGCAGTCGTATGGACTGGAGGATCCGATCGGTTCCGAGCGTTTAGAAGGCCTTCGGCGAGGAGCTATGCCTTGCGGTTTGGCCGTTTGGCGGTATGGTAGCGCGAAGTGGCTCCCGTTCTGACCTGATCTTTACCCCGTGTTTGCTGTCGTTTGTGGCCAATGAACTGTCATGCTGAATTAGTGCTTAATCGCGCAGCAAATGCAATGCGTGCCGCCCTGGCTGCCCGCTTCATACAGCTTAACCAGAGCATGCTTTAGTGGCGCCCTTTCCAGCCGTCGACACGGAGCGCGACAGTCGTGAGCGCTCGCTGAGCTCACTACCCCTCCTCTAGTTTGCGGCCACTTAAGCAACCAAGGACGTCATGAAGGAGGTTATTTTTTGCTTGTTTTTGGAATATTAATTTACCTATAACTTTTAAGATAAAACGAAATTCGAGAAAGGAAAATTTTGATTAAGTTTCTACGTTAAGTGCGCTCAGGTTTGGTGCAAAATGAAAACCAGTAAAAAAGTCCGTGCAAGGCCCCTGTAAGGTTAAACGAAGTATACACCAACATAATGTTTCCAAGCAAGCCCGCATCCGCCCACACCACGTGTGGGCGTTGCGCATCCGCAGAAGCTTCTGCGCATGCGCAGTGACGTCAGAGACTTGAGTTGGTCTAGAGAAAGAACGCCAGTATATATTTTTTTTCTTCATTCCGCCCTTTGTTATTTATAAGAAAAGAAAGAATAGAAGATACTACAACCGTTCGCAGAACACGTCGAAGATATCCGTCTGCCGTGATACATCGTGATTTGGCTCGAACGCTGCGCCAAGAGTCAGTCGGGTGCAATATCAGCGAATTGGCGTAATCGCGAGCGTATCACGGCACTATCAGTCCCTGATGGGCCTGCAAGCATCATACGATGCAATACGATTTCACTTATCATTACAATAACATGCGATGAATGGGGCCGAATAAAAAACTGCAGAAATGCAGCCTGACGAAGGGGTTTAACAGATACGACGGAGCGAGGCAGGCATCAAGACACAAGAATAAAGTCAAACACATTATCGTCAAACACATTATCAATGAAAGAAGTCAAAGGATCATTTTTGAATATGCAGTATTTGAAGGTTCGGTTATGTCTACATTGCGATTGAAATAGTAGTTTAATAAAAAAAAAAAGGCAAAGTGTGAACTAATCTCTGCATTTGATAATTAGTTCTCGATTCAGGAATTTCCCAAGTCTGGGAACGCCTGGATGAGTACTACTGACTTTTTCTTTTTAAATCTGAAAGCTGAAACATAAAAAAACTGAGCGCCAATTCGATTGGTTAAACAGTAATCATATAATCGGTGTACGCCAAGGATCATGTATAATTTAAATATTGAATATGTTAGATGAGAGTAAGAAACGTTTGATATTACTCTTGTTGTCCTTTTTGTAGTGAATATATTTTATTAAGATTTGAAAAGCATGCATTGCCCAAAACTGTAAGACGCAACAACACGAATGAGAATAAATCAACGAATTCTATAAAACATTTCTATATACTTGTTGGAAGAACATGCTTGTACCCGTTTAAAATTCTCAGAGATGTACGTAACTTAGAAGATATGTCATATCATTGTTCCATAACATATTGTCTTAAAAAATAACTCCAAGTCATCGGAATTTCGACAGAGTTCCAAGAGTCTCAGCTTCCTCCAATCAACTTGGTCAGCTACGAGAACGAACTACAATACAGCCCGATTGAAATTAAAAAAAAGAAACACGTCTACCTATTTTCTATTAAGTCCGCATGATCATTAGGATAAGATGTCACAAACCCTCCGCACAAAAAAAAAAAAAGAAAAAAAAAGAAAAATCGCGCGTTGGTTACAGGACGACAAACAGCAGCAGCGAGGTCATGATGTGTTTTCCCGTCAAACTTAGCCGGGAAACTGAATTCGTAGATATGTCACGTGACGTCAATTTTTCAGCTAAATTTAGCGGAAAACCTGAATTTGTCCGTAGGCGCCATGACGTCAGGTCACGTGACGTTAATTTTCCCGTCAAACTTAGCGGGGAAACTTTTCGTTTACGCTCACACCGTCGCGCAACCGGGGGATGGGCCACTAACAGCTACCGCTGTAATAAAAAGTAAAATACTGGGGTGTTTTAAGGGCTAGGCTTCACAACGCCACCTGGAGTCATACGCGGCGCGAAGTAGTTGTTACGACATTTGGTTGTCGGAGGCAAAAGCGAAGCTTTTGGCGTTTGGAACGTGCGCGCCTTGATAAGGTAACATATATCTAATCTATAATTTACCTACATATGTTTTAATTATCAACATAAAGGGGGAAATTAGTAATGCTCCGCGAGGTGCCGTGCTTTTTTTACTTCGGTCCTTGAGGTGAAAACGGGTATAGAGCTCGGTGCGTTGACGTCTCCTCTTCTTCCTCGGTGTTTACCTCGTAGAAGGACGCGTCATGAGATTGACTCACTTGCTGTACTCTGCGGCGTTCTCGACAAGATGATCGTGGTCGCCGTGCATGCTCCACCAGATGACTGGAACGTTGTGTGCCTTAGACTGTTGGTTCACGAACTCTTGGATTTTTTTCGGCAAGTCGAAGACACGTGTCTCTGCGGCTCCTATTCGAGAAAATGTTCCAAAGAATCATAAAGCACGCCTTGTACTTGCGGGATTTTTATTTGCAATATATTGTTTCACTTTCTCACGTAAGTAAAAAAAAACATGTAAAGGATACACAAAACAAATCTTTAAAAACTGTTGGAAAGCTAGGGGCATGACCGATTACAATAGAATGAAGATATTGATTTTAACACTCAAACCAACGAATACATCTCTTATTTTGTTCTAACTCTTTTTTATCGAAATAGGGTACTACGAAGTTTCTTAACAAAATTTTGACAATTTTCATTGACGCCAAATTTTCTGCTAATGCGTATCCTTTGTTGGCAAGCAATGATAACTAATATTCAGTTCTTGCCTTGTGTTCGTTCGAACGAAACAAATTATAGAAAATTGATCAACTTAGCCAAGAACGCCGCAATAAAAAAAATTGCTTACCTAATACCTTTTTGTAAGCATATACGGCCCACAGCGGAATACTGGAATACCTGTTTGTTTGTTTTTTCTTCTTTTATTTTTTTTTCCTTTTAGATTGAGGTAAGAGTAGAGGAAGGAATTGTCTTTCTGTGGACTGCGATCCCGCGCTAACCTTTGTGTAAAACGGTACATGACAGCTCCAGAAATGCAGAGTGTGGCGAGTCGTGAAAATCTCCTTATCGCACCCCATGAGGTTGCTGCATTCGTTGATAAGAACCATGTGAGCTAACCAGTATTTTAGACATTATACCACAATAATGAAAGCGTTTACACAATTCAAACTCCAATGGACGCGCTACGGTCGGTTCTCAGAACACACGTGAGAGTCGAAGATGATTTGAAGTGTTGGTTTTAACTGTAGGGCTGGGCAAATGATCGATTAACCTACCGATTAATCGATTAATGCTTTAATTGCGATTAAATTTTTTAACTGGTTAATCGGTAAAATTTAGACGAACCAAAAAAAACTCAAAATTAAACACTTCCATAACGCAGACGTGGACGAATACGCCTGTACGAAGGGTGACCTTTAGGTCAAATTTTAGAACAAGGTAAACTGTACAGGGGCGATATTTTTATAGCATCCGATTAAGTACAGAGGTTACGCATGTCCCCGGCCATTTCAACGTAGTTCGAGTGTCTGTTTAGCGCAGTAGAGATTATTGTGAACAATGAAAGGAAGCCGCTCTTTCTAGAGAATATCAACGAACATCTTTGCCTCACGCGGCAAAAGTAATATTTAGCGAAAGGTCTCTGATGCTCTTCTTAACTATATCGAGATTAATTCATAATCTAAGTTGTACATTGCACCGTTTATCACAGATTCAGCAAAAAAAAAGACTTTTTTAAATATTTTGCAATGAAATAAACGAGACCGATTAATCGATTAATTAATCGATTAAAGGGTGGCGATTAATCGGGTTAAAACTTTTAATCGACGCCCAGCCCTAGTTTTAAGCCTTTTTCCGACAGACATTTCTTGACTGCACGCAGTGCCTGCACTGGAGTCAACTGATCCGACGCCATCTTGCATTAAACAGCCCAAGAAAACAGTTTATACTTCCAACTTCTTCCACCAGGTGTCAGATGTATAATGTTCGCTTTCAAATGCACTGTTAAAGCCTAAAAGATTCGTGTTCGCGTTATTGGGGCAAGAGTTCGGATATTTACTGGACGCCCCTCGTAAATTCAAAAGAAATTCGGAACTTTATCGAAAAATTTATAGCAGTAAAATTGTCGGTCTGCAATGGCATCACCATATTGTTATTGCGGAAATAAAATCAACCAAAATTCGATTTGGAAACATAATAAAAGCGGAGACACTGAAACAAAAAGGACGTAAAAGCCACCATCTCGGACACGACTCTGAGCTGTGTCCGAGACGGTGTTTCTCTCGGATACAGCTCCTGTGTCCGATGTTGCGTCCGTCCCTTTTGTTTCCGTATCTCCGGTTTTTTTATATTGCATAATATTCGCCAGTTCACCTGCGCCCTTATTCGTATTTCATTCCACTTAAACGTGTCTCATTGAAATCATGGGCCGGTTATATATTTTAGTGTTGTACAGAATTTGCATTCGTAGAATTTGTTGTTTTTTACCTTTTATATACCTATTGCCCCCTCCCCTCTGCAGTGCCCTCGTGGCCCTGAGGGTATTTGAAATAAATAAATAAATAAATAAATAAATAGCGTCGAGCTTTTCTTTTTTTTTTTTTTTCACAAAATAAACATGCAAGCTTACCGGTTTGCTGCATTGCCTGTGAACAGAGAAAAGGACACATTTAATGCATTACCCAATAATCAGGGAAAGAAAAAAAAACTCGTCTACAGTATTCAATCATGTAATTAAAGAGCAAACTAACTTTGTGGAATAAAAGAAAAAATGTGTACTGCCTACAATGGGATTATGGAAGGGGCCAACCTAAGCTGCGTGCAGCAAAATCAAGCTTGCTGCCACTGGTCTTCTTTTTCTTTTTCTTTTTTTTTTTTATTCACAACACGCCCGCGTCGAATTCGACGCAAACATCACATATCTTTCCTTCTCTTTTTCTTTCTACGTATGCATATATCTTGGTTTGTTTCGGTTTTGGTGGTTGTCGCTAGTCACAAAAACTAAGCGGTGTGTGAAGCCCTCTACGATTAACACACAATGCTTATAAAAAGTATTGGACCTGTCCTCAGTGTCACTCTGTAGTGTCGTACGCGAAAACCACTGGCATTTGGACAAGCTTTTGGATGAGAAGACTCGCAAATCGAACTTATAACTATAGGAAGGTCGCGAACTTTTTTTTTCGAAACTGAGACTTGACTGGCTCGCCGAACCTTCGACCATTTCGAAAAGCGACAGTTTGCTTCGCTTTCAACGAAGGAGATCTCTGCGTAGAAGACGGTTGAGAGTGGCTCTGTGGTGCTTGAGAAATGTGGTGCTTGAGAAATAAACCAGCTAGCGTTAGCGTTCCCTCCTGTGTCTGTTCCTTCGATTAAACGTGTTTTTTGATGTTGTTGTTTTTGTTTTTTTTTTGCATTACAGCTTAAGGTGCTAAACGACATGACAAAGTTTGACTTATGGACAGTGATACCCGACTTCGACACTAAAAAATTGCGAATTTCGGAAAAAAAATGTGCTTGTTTACTAGTTTATAATTTATAAAATGTTTACGCCATACACGAGCGAACGTATGTACTTTTAGTTCTTTAGTTTATTCAATTAAAACAATATACGTCTCAAATATCACACTTCCCCTCCGCCAAGCGGACTCAGTACGTTTTCAAATCTTCGCGCATGCGCACAAAAAGTCGAACTTCGGCCGAACTTTAGTCGAACTTCGGTCGAACTTTCGTCAAACTTTCTTCGAACTTTCGTCCAACTCGTAAGTTCGAAATACTCAAACCTGGTCTCGAACCCGGCAGGTTCGCGACGCCCTTACCTTTACCATTCCCTCGCAGCAACCAACTGAAGCTGCAGTCGCACTGCTTATACATCATAAAAGGACACGGAGTTTCTCCGCAGACATTATGACCGAAATATCTGCGGACACGCCCCAAGCATCCTCGAAGCACCTGTGCTTCGTGCAAACTTGGAAAATGTCTGAGGACAGTTTTTGTACGACACTAACGTCAGACAAGGAAGAAATACGCCCAAAAAATGTCTGCACACTGACTTTTTGTTTCTTTCTTTTTTTTTTGTATAACGTATTAGCAGTGTGAGCGCGGCTTCAGAGGTTTTGGGGCTTGCGTCGTAATCGTATAGATCAGAAGAAAAAGTGCCACAAGGGAGTGCCCCCCGTTGAACTTGTGGGTATTGTCGAGCCAACAAACTGGGGGGGAGGGGGGGGGGGGGAAAGAACTTACCAGGGCGAGCAAAACGACGGTTCCAAGGAGGAGCGACACAGAGTCGGCCATGTTTGACCCAAGCGTTCCCGGTGTCCACAAAACAGTGAATAGCGTTGGAAGACCGCCAGCTTTATATTGGACGCTTCCGATATAAAGGAAGGTAATTAGCGTGTCCGTTACATCTGCCGAACGCATTGTATGTCTTATCGCCAACCATTGTCCGTACCAGTTGCGTTAAACCACTTTATCGCTGCCACCTTGCCGTCATTATCTGAGCGCATATTTGCTTATACAACGTCGAGCGATCTATCGGCGAGTTCATCATAACCCAGGGGCCCTAAGCTTGCACACTTGGCGAAAACGTCGGCAAGAAATGTGGAGGCCGCGATTGGGCCAACGCCGCGCTTGACCTTGGCACCGGCCAATCATATCCGCCGAATTTCTCGCCGACTTTTTTTGCCAAGTGTTCAGATTAGTGCCCCAGTTGATATAGCAGTAGGTTGGGACACTCGAGACACCGAAACAATCATTATTTCGGGGAAGGCGCATGATTAGAAACTATAATTCGTTGCACCTATACGACGATGAACCGCGGCGGAAGCGCTCGGGCACTAAAGTCAATTCTGAAATCGTCTTTTTGTGCTGACAACTCAATATAAACGCTCTAAACATTCCAACAAATCCAAAATTACAATCGTCCGTAGTTTATTTCTTCGTTAAAAGCGTGTTCAAAGATCGCGACATGCCCTTTTCGGAAGAAATTTCTTCCCAGTGAAGTGGTCGACGAAGCGCGCTTGTCGGCGAGTTGCAAGCGATGGTTTCGACCGCGGAGAAAAAGAGGAGTCTTATCCGAATGCGTACCTATCAGACTCTCTTCGAGACGAGTTATGATGAAATCATATGGAATCTGCGCGTATTGTAGGGTTTTCGTTGGTCCACACAGTGCAGTCCGGGAGAAAAAAAGAGTCCGCATGTTTTAGAGCGCAGCTCTTTAGCGCCCGTTTCCGGCTTGAGCGGCGTCGGCGTCGGCGTCGCTGTCGGCGTAACCACGCGTTGCATGCAACGCGCATGCAACGCGCATGCAAAGCTTGCATGCAAGCGGCGTAACCGCGCGTTGCATTATGGGTAGTTTCCCATAATGACGTCACGGTGTTTACCCTCGTCAGGGTTGCGAGGGTTACTCTCACGAGGGTTACCCTCACGAGGGTCACCAGCTTTACCCTAACGAGCGTTCCGAGGGTTAGTTACCCTCAAAAGGGTTACCCTTACGAGGGTCACGAGGGTTATGAGAGTTACCCTTACGTAACACCCCCTGAGGTCAAGTGACACCCCCCGGGGCCTAATGTCACGTGACCTCAGGGAGTCACCTTTCCCTCAGTACCCTTCCATCCTCCTCCTCAAGAGCTGCGCTCTAATTCGGCGTTACTGGGAGTTGTAAACGGCTTTCATTTTTTATCTTGCCCTGAGATGAATAGGCGGTTTTGTAATATAGGACTTTGTAAATTCGGCAAACAACACTCTTTAAACAATATAAAATCAAAAACGACTTTTTTTCAAAAATGACTTCAGTGCCCCTTTAACGTTTCACGCGAATACGAGCACCGCGCGTAGGAAGGAAGAAAGCCGGCGGACAGGGCGGAGGCGCTTGCAGACGGTCGACATTTTTTTCCTCACCTCCTCGCAGCAGCGCAAACGTCGGCGCGGCCCACAAAGCACCTGACTCTTATCGAGCGGTTGGATACACTCTGAAGGTCACGTGATAGTGGACTCGTTTGTAAACAGCGTGTTGGTTAGGCTGTGTAATGCGTCTGTCTATTTTCTCGACTAAAAATGGATTAAACGTTTGTTTTTTCGTCCCGAACGCGGCGCGGTTTACGTTGCAAGCCCTTCCTCCATCCAGCCTCGTCAGCGGATTGAAGACTCTCCTTTCACGACGTCCGATAAACTCTATGCACTGGCGTAAAATTGCTTTTTTTTTTTTTGAAAGACGCTATAGTTACCATTACTTTTAGTTTTCGTCCAGCAAGCTCTGACATGCACGCGTGAATGAACTCTGGAGCAAACGCCCGTTTCAGCTTTCTTGAAGTTCGTTTAAGTACATTCTAAAAATACAACTGCTGTAGCTAAAGACACTACTGCATCATGACCCTTTTGAAAAAGCCCAATAACGACGTGCTCGTTGGAGCGATTGTTTTCCAACAAATGTTTATTGCAGTTGTTGTAATGCAACAAAAGTTGATTGGCAAACGATAAACTCAACGTACCGCGATACAATTCGATGTTGCAACACAACATCGCAATACAGGCACGTAGCTATGGGGGAAGGGGAGGGGGGGTAGCATGGGGCCCCTGCTCCCCCCCCCCCCCCCCGAAATCTTTGATTTTGCTGGGGCCTCCTCTCCCCCTCCCCCTTATAGAGCATTTTGTCATGGGCGCCCCCCCCCCCCCCCCGAATCAGAATCCTGGCTACGTGCCTGCCGCAATACAATAAGAAACTATCGGTGTTGGGACACAACATCGAATACGATATCAATACGAAGTTACCGATGGTGGAATACAACATCGAACACGTTATACAATACGAAGTTATCGGTGTTGGACACAACATCGAACAAGATATACAATACGAGGTTACCGGTGTTGGGACCCATATCGAACGCGATACGTGACAATGCCGGTTCACGCGGTAAAATAATGAGGGTGAACAGGTTTGACAGGTCACGTGCATGTAGTTGCTTGTTACGCTCACATTTATCGATATTGACCCACCTTTCTGGGTAATCCTACGTCGTACATAAGATCCACGACAGCATGCGAGCACATTTCACCCACCACTCTTCGTCGCCTGTTTCGCGAGATTCATACTGGAAAAAAACAACTTGAAAAATGTGTGCATTTGCGCCATCAAACGTTACGTTCTAGCCTCGTTTCGTTTTTTGAGAAGATGAATTTCCATCGTCAACCCGCGCGCGCGCCAGCTCGAATTTGGAAGGGAACAAGCCTGCGCCGTGGCCGAGCCAGCCGAGCCGCCGAACCTGGCCGAGCATGCTCACTGCGCAGTGGGCGCACCTCGACGTGCGACCGACGGATGACAGTTCGTCGCGCTCTTTGCTCGTGGGCTCCAAGCAAAACCAACACACATTCAATCGCTTCGAAAGGTACATACACACGACTTGATTACTTGCAGCGTTGAGTGGCTTGGTATACACGGATTAAAATAAACACCCAAGGACAGAAAGCAGACATGGAGTTTTGAAATCGCAGCTTATTTGAACCCACGTGTTCCCTGTTGAAAGCCGCTAGTTGTGCTCTGTTGCAAATGTCATATCAACTGCCTGTAGTCCAACGTAACGTCAGTCAGTGCTCACACTCGGCTAGCTTCACTATCTTATTATCTCATGTGCGAAATAAGGTTGACGTAGAAACCAGGTCGCCGCGTCTCTTTCGGACATTCAGTCTCTAGCCCCCTGGCCTCCGGAGCGCTTGCCGCCGCAACCGTTCGACGGATTGGATGTGCGGGCTCGTTCGGAGAGGCGTTGTTTGAAGCTCACGAGTCGCCGAAGTGTTACGGGAGCTTCTCTTTACGGAAGCCGCGATCGACACTCCGCTCTGTGCGAGTACTTTTTTCCTCTGGGGGAGACGATGAGTGCCGACCACTGATCTGCGGTGCCGACTGGGGCCAATCAAAGTTGAGTAACGCTAGCGAGTGAGTGAGATTTTCGTGACTCCGCCCAGCTGCCCTGCTATTGGCTGCGCATAGCGAATGGTGTCAAAGAAATGGCACGCGTTTTTTTTTTATCTTCCCGTCGGCCATGTTTCACCTCAGTCAACACAAAGTGAATCGCGGCTGTACGTCGGTTAACTTCCGATTACTGTGCCTAGATTGTAGATTGTCTCACTACAACGAAGCCTCTTTGGTGTGATCTTATTTTGATAATCGTTACATCTTGCTTTTTCATCTTGGCTGCACGCTTCGAGTCGACCTTCTAAACATTGCACTACTTTTCGACATGTCGCAGGTTCTTGAGACAAACAAATTGGAAGTCACTGTTCGCTCACTCCTTGGTGCACATATTTCATGTTCAACATCAGGTATTTAAAGGAGGCACCATGCACCCTGAATTTTGTTCAAAGATACCTCAACATACTATATTAGAGTGCCGTTTTGTGTGTTGTAGTTTCATACAAAACCAAATTGCAGTTTGTTTGTAATATGCCCTATAACTGTTCACCAACAATTGAACTTGCAATGAAACATTGGCCACGATCGGTGACTCGGCAAACGTTGCCGAAACATTTATCGCATAATTTTCTTCATGGGTCGTTTTGGATGTTGACAAGTTTTCTTGTGAATAATGAGTGTGATGCACATATGTTTCTTCTACTTTTTGTATAGGTACTTCCGCTAGATGAACCCCAGCAAAGGCAGCAATACAGTCTCATGGGGTCACACAAAGGAGAGCGAGATTCCTGCTCGAGTCCTGAGTCTTGGGCTGTATAACACTAGGGCGCACGACACAAGAGCGCACGACATTAGAGCGCCGACAGTAGAGCGCCGCGACTTTAGAGAGCGCGACGTTAGAGCGCGCGACTCGACAGCGCGGCGACTCGACCGGACCGACCACTTGTTCGGGCATCGCGTGTTTCATGTAAAATTGACAGGGATTTATGCCGCGGAATTCAGCAATGACATTGCGAAATAAGTCGAAGAAATTTTCGCGTGTGACAAACCAGTATATATTACAAAAAAACTTACAACCAAAAAAAAAAAAAAAGACGTATCTGTAGCGTGCATTTTCGAGAAAAAACAAACAAGCAAACAGAGCAGCTGACCTAGCTTCATTAGTTTTTTTTTTTATTTTGTACGTCACAGATTTCCAGAAGAGGTTTGCCTGTACCCGTCAAAAGACGGGAAAGCTCTGCATCGGATAAAATTGCGCTGAGTATTCCCTCGCTGAGTTTTTTACTGATACTTTTTTAGCGGTGAGCTTTCTTCATTACGGACTTGGACGTCAGAATACCATTTAAACTTGTGCGAGGGTCGCCTAAATAGCCACAAAAAAGATCGGAGCCCAAATGCCTGTCAAGAATAGACCAAATATAGGAAAAAAGAAAGACTGTTTATAGTATACCCGA